ATGTGGAAAGTCTTCTTGGGGCCTGGGATGGGGGTGAGGGAGGAGGTGTGGGGGCAGGTGTAGCACTTCCTGTGGTTGCAGGGAAAAGTGCCGGGTGTGGTGGGGCTGGAGGGGAGTGTGGAGCGGACAAGGGAGTCACGGAGAGAGTGGCCCCTCCGGAAAGCAGATAAGGGTGGGGAGGGAAAAATGGCTTTGGTGGTGGGGTCGGATTGCAGATGGTGGAAGTGTCGGAGGATGATGCGTTGGATCCGGATGTTGGTGGGGTGGTACGTGAGGACGAGGGGGATTCTTTTTTGGTTGTTATTGCGGGGACGGGGTGTGAGGGATGAGTTGCGGGAAATGCGGGAGACACGGTTGAGGGCGTTCTCGACCACTGAGGGGGGGAAGTTGCGGTCCTTGAAAAACAAGGACATCTGAGATGTATGGGAGTGGAATGCCTCATCCTGGGAGCAGAGGCGAAGTAATTGGGAATAGGGGATGGCATTTTTGCAGGAAGGTGGGTGGGAGGAGGTGTATTCTAGGTAGCTGTGGGAGTCGGTGGGCTTGAAATGGATATCGGTTTCGAGGTGGTTGCCTGAGATGGAGACAGAGAGGTCCAGGAAGGAGAGAGAGGTATTAGAGATGGTCCAGGTGAACTTAAGGTTGGGGTGGAAGGTGTTAGTGAAGTGGATGAACTGTTCGAGCTCCTTGTGGGAGCACGAGGCGGCGCCGATACAGTCATCAATGTAACGGAGGAAGAGGTGGGGTTTAGGGCCAGTGTAGGTACGGAAGAGGGATTGTTCCACATAACCTACAAAGAGGCAGGCATAGCTTGGGCCCATGCAGGTACCCATGGCCACCCCGTTTGTCTGTAGGAAGTGGGAGGACCCAAAACCAGCCCAGCTCGTCCCCGCCTCCCTAACCTGTCCTTCCTCCCACCTATCCCCACCTCCCACCTCAAGCCCCACCCCCATCTCCTACCTACTAACCTCATCCCGCCCCCTTGACCTGTCCGTCCACCCTGGACTGACCTATCTCCTCCCTAACTCCCCACCTACAGTCACCTTTACTGGTTCCATCCCTGCCTCTTTGACCTGTCTGTTTCCTCTCCACCTATCTTCTCCTCTATTCATCTTCTATCCGCCTCCCCCTCTCTCCCTATTTATTTCAGAACCCCCTTCCCCTCCCCCATTTCTGATGAAGGGTCTAGGCCCAAAACGTCAGCCTTCCTGCTCCTATGATGCTGCTTGGCCTGCTGTGTTCATCCAGCTCTACACCTTGTTATCTCTTTAAACCTTTCCTATTCATGTACTTATCTAAATGCTTTCTAAACATTGTAATTGTACCTGCATCCACCACTTTCTCTGCTTCATTTCACACATGAATTACTCTGTGTGGGGAAAAAAAAGTTGCCCTTCGTGTCCTTTTTAAATATATGCCCACTAATCTTAAAAATATACCCAATAGTTTTGAATTCCCCCACCCTAGGGAAAAGACCCTAGTCATTCACCTTATCTATAGCCCTCATGATTTTATAAACCTTATTAAGGTCATCCCTCAACCTCGTATGCTCCAGTGAAAAATGTCCCAGCCTGTCCAGCCCATTTATTTCTCCATCCCTCCATTCTGCATCTTCCAAATAAGATGGATTTCTTGCTATTGTTTTTACTCCACCAACGAAACATCACCTTTTCCTTCCTGCCTGCCCTTTAGAAAATGCCCATACCCCTGAATAATTAGTTCCCAGCTTTGATCTGCTGTAACGAGGTCTCTGCAGTGGCTGTAAGATCATACCCATTAACCTGTATTTATTTGTTTTCATTTGTTTTTAATGCTACGCAGATTTCAGTAAGTAGCCATTCCTTTTAGTCTTTTATCCCTCTCTCCCCCTCTGTGCTGAGTCTTCCCGCCCCACTTTGAGCATTGTCATTAAAATTGCTGCCCTGTAATGCTGCCATATACTTTTCCTTTGCAAGGCCATGTTTCTCCTTTTAAACCCCCATCTTTTTGTTAAAGCCCTGCTAGTGGGAGGTGCTATGGGCAATGGAGGCCGTGGGGAGAGCCGCTGCCCTGTGGGGAACCTGTGCCCCGTGGGAGAGTGGGTGCCTTGTTTCGGTTTGTTGTCTGTGCGTGTGTCTCTGTCTTTCTCTGTCGTTGCCTGTGAGAGTCCTGTTAATGTCTTGCGGCCACCTCCTGTTAGCTCACTCCCTCCACGATGACCGAGATCAGCGATCTGGACCGACAGATTGAACAGCTTCGGCAGTGTGAGCTTATCAAGGAGAACGAAGTGAAAGCCCTGTGTGCCAAAGCCAGGTTGGTGATGCTGCTGTGGGTGAGGTTCCCGTGGCTTTCTGCCAGCCTCCGCCTCCCTCTGTTTTCTGCGCCTCCCCCACCAGCACCATTTCGTTCCTCCCCTCCCACCTCTGCATTCTAAAATCCTCCCCAATCCTGGTCGTTGCTATTCTTAGTGACAAGGTAAGCTCCTTGTCTTTAATCCAGTCTTATCCTTAAGCTCTTCAATTGCAGATGAATCACCTTGATCGCTTTCCTCTGCGGAGATTTTTTTTTCCCCCAGATTGGCAAAATACTTCCTTCACTTTTTCGCCCCACCTTTTAACCCATCATCCCCATCTACGTGGCGCAGTTCGCCCCTTATACCAACTTGATTCACTTTTATTCAGACCTGGGGGTTCCGTACAGGAAATTCACACCTTGTTTCAGATTTGCTAGTCCGAGGGCAGGGGCTTCGCTATCTAAGCCCCTCAGTAGTTGCCCTTTGGGAAGGTCTGGGCACGCACAAGGTGCCATGAGAGAGACCCATGACTGGGATTGGACAAAACTGTAGGATTTGCCATTCTGAAGTTAAGTGAGCGTCGACTGGGAATGGCTCGTGTCTGCATCAGTAGCAAGTGACGTGTTTGGTTTGATCACTTTTAGCAGCAAGTGGCCTGCGTGCAGTTAACGGGGTTTAATTACGATCAGAGTGACGTACAGCATGGAAACTGACCCTTCAGCCCAAACCGTCCATGCCAACCAGATATCCTAAATTAATCTAGTCCCATTTGCCAGCGTTTGACCCATCTCCCTCTAAACCCTTCCTGTTCATGTCCCCATCCAGATGCCTTTCAAATGTTGTCGCTCACATCACCCTCTGTGTGAAAAGATTACCCCTTAAGTTCCTTTTAAATCTTTCCCCCTCTCCTTAAGCCTATGCCCCTCCAGTTTTGGACTCCCTCACTCTGGAAAAAAGATCTTGTTTATTCACCCTATCCATGCCCCTCATGATTTTATAAACCTCTATAAAGTCACCCCCTCAGCCTCCGACACTCCAGGGTAAACAGCCCCAGCCTATCCAACCTCTCCCTATAACTCAAACCCTCCAACCCTGGCAACGTCCTTGTAAATCTTTTCCGAACTATTTCAAGTTTCACAACATTCTTCCTACAGCAGGGAGACCGGAACTGCACACAGTATTCCAAAAGTGGTCTAACCAATATTTTGTAACATGAGATAGCAGGAACCGCAGATGCTGGAGAATCTAAGATAACAAGGTGTAGAGCTGGATGAGCACAGCAGGCCAAGCAGCATCCTTTACTCAATGCACTGACCCATAAAGGCAAGCGTACCAAATGCCTTCTTCACCGCCCTGACTACCTGCGACCCCATTTTCAGGGAACTATGTACCTGCACCCCCACCGTCTCTCTGTTCAGGACCTTAGATTGTGTTCTGCGTGCTGTTGCTGACACAGTGAAAGTTTAGTTTAGGTTTTACGGAGGGTCAGTTATCCTGGAGCTTCTTGCCTGTCTGCATTGACTGATCTATGACTGAACACCAGGGGGAGGTGATGGCCTAGTGGTATTATCGCTGGACTGTTAATCCAGAGACCCAGATAACGTTCTGGGGACCTGGGTTCAAATCCTGCCATGGCAGATGGTGGAATTTGAATTCAATAAAATACCTGGAATTAAGAATCTAATGCTGACCATGAATCCATTATTGATTTGTTGGAAAAACCCATCTGGTTCACTGATGCCCTTCAGGGAAGGAAACTGCCATCCCTACCTGGTCTGGCCTACACGTGACTCTAGACGCACAGCAACGTGGTTGACTCTCAACTGCCCCCTGGGAAATTAGGGATGGGGCAGTAAATGCTGCCTAGCCAGCGACGTCTTCATCCCGTGAATGAATTTAAAAAAAAAAGCTACCCACATTATCCCATCTCCAGTAATTCCTTCAGAGAACAAGAGTCAGTTGGACTCAAAATTCCCAGCCAATCAAATGCAGTTAGCAGGGGAGAGTTATAGGGCCAGCCCGCGGCCCTCTCCCCTGTGTGTTATCTAGTCTCATTCCTGTAAAGACTTGCTTGATATGATTGACTCTCTCTCCTTCGTCCTGACTCCCAGACACCAGGGGTCAATCGATCAGTTCCTCTCACCATCTTCAAATCTTTGATCACGTCAGCCCCAGGACCTTCCCTCTCATTTCTGAGGTGTCTCTGTCCAGTGATGTAACCCTAGGGGAGTCGGGGCAAGGGAACTATTCAAGTGACTCAACACTGCTTTCGCTCCCAAGGATGACAGGCCCTTCCCGAGGGGCGGAGTGGGTTCTGACCAGGGATACCTACCGGAGGAGCTGGAGTTCCTTGCCACTCCAACATCCCCATTCCCCAACCCTCTATCCACCGCACCCAGAAACCCACCCACCCACCCAGCTGTCCTGCAACCGACATTCCTCTTGCTCTCCCTGCCGTCTCGTTTCTTCATCAGAGCTGATTCTAACGGGTCTTCTTCTGTGTGTGCACGTATAGGGAGATCCTAGTGGAGGAGAGTAATGTGCAACAGGTCGATTCTCCAGTGACGGTGAGTATCCATGATTACCACCCCTCCAATTCGCTTATCCCCTAGACTGCTCCCTCCCTCTGCCATCCCATTCAAACAACGTGGTCGCTAACTGTGTCAGTTACAGGCTTGGCACTGAGGGAGTGGGCACTGTCGGAGGGTCAGCGCTGAGGGAGCGGGGCACTGTCGGAGGGTCAGCGCTGAGGGAGCGGG